TGCTTGGTATATGAAAAATATTCACTAATTATTGTATGATTCTTTGTTGGGCTTGAAAATGTTAATGTGTATGCATGTGTGTGCATGCGTGTGTGTGAGAATTCATAATATGGGCAGATAATTTTGAACTGTATTTAATTCCAAATGAAGCATGGAGATTTATTGCCAGAGATTATTGTTACATTGGCATTTCAACTTTCAAAAGTTTAGGCAGAATAAAAAGTTTTAACTTGATTGACCTAATAAAAAGACACCAGTGCATTGCATCCCACTCCAGGGTTTTGAAAGATTAAAGCGAATAAAAATACGGATATCCTTAGCAGGTGTGTCTCTAAGAAAGCCGCGAACAAAGAGAGTGTGTGCCACCAAAGCATTCTGGAGCGAAGTCCTCATCGCTCAGCTGGGAGTCCCCGAACAAAGCTGCTGAAAACCAGGCGACTTGAAATGAAGATTTAAAAAAATGGCTGTTTTGAGGTTTCCCTTTTCTTCTATTGAGGAACAGGCAGTGTGCATCTCATACTAAACTAGAACTGGGTATTGTAAAGGAGCAAGACTCTCCTTCAATAGACTTCTGGCAATGTGCTTTAGGTGGAGTCTGTAGAGAGAATTGATCAGTACTGTAACTGGATTTTTCTAAACTTGGGAAATGTTTGCTTTCAAAATCACAATTTATAGTGAGTAACTCAATCAAAACCCCTTGACTATCTCCTCTTTCTTTTCATATATAGTTTTAGGTAAGTAGTATAGCTAGGTTAATTTATTAAGATAAGAAGTTATATGCTTTAATTTTTAGTATTTAGACTAGCTGTTTTATGGAGTAGGTTGATAATTACATAACTGGTTTACTTGACTTAGGAAAGCAATGGTATATTCAATTTTATCTGTTCTAATGAAAAATAATTTTGAATATTTATGTCCTGAGGAAATATCACTTCTATGACATCAATTTGCTAGAAATATCACATTAATTAAATCTTTTATTTTTATGTGAATGTTACCTGCTTAAAATATTAGATTTTTATGAATCTTCTAGTCTAGCTTTAATTACAGAACCAGACTGCCTTGCATTTTAATACCTTTCTTTAAAGAAAGGGTCAAAGCACCAAACCCAAGGACAGGGAAGCTTTCATTCACAATTTCTCTCTTGTTTAATAACTGTGAAATGTTGATAATAAAACATGAATTCATCTACCTCTGGTCTGCTGTGCTGATTATAGGTTTCAAACTTGGTTAAGCACCATTTTATTCAAATTCCTATTATTCTTTCTGGTTTCCTGACTGTAGCTATCTATTTATGCTAGTATGGAGATGGTGCTGACTGTGTGATATGTCATCCTGAGGTAATTATGGGATAACATTCGGTGCCTCAGATAGTAAGGGTGATCTTTAATATCTCCTATGACTTAACTTACATTGAACAAATTAAAGAATGGTTTGTTTCATTTGTATTTTATTTCTTTTGAATCCTTGTGTGCTGGTGTGTGTGTGTGTGTGTGTGTGTGTGTGTGTGTGTGTGTACGTGCCATAGCCCACAAGGGGAGATTAGAAGACAGCCTGCTTGAATTCATTCCTTCCTTCCACCATATGAGTCCTGAAATCAAGTTCAGGTCATGAGGCTTGGGGTCAGGAGCCTCCACCCACTGAGCCATCTTGCTGACCCTGAAACACTGTTTGAAAAGCAGTAATGAGCATAGCTAGCTTATATAGGGGTCATCATTTCTCCTTTTCAAATTACTGGATCTAAAAAGAAAATAAAAGTAGAGAAGATGCAAACGCCATCTAGTTACTCATTTGTCACTGAGTGAGTCGTCTATTCCCAATGTAGAGTGCATCCTTTCCCTTAGAAGAAATCTTATTCGATTGTCAGCGCACTTCCTCTTGAGATGCTGCAATCAGTCAGATGCTCCTCAGAGGCTGCTTTGCTGTTAGCCTTCCTCTGTTGTCTCAGGAATGCACTTTCCGTCATGAACTCTGAATCTTCATTCTTTCTGTGTATGCCCTACACTACTGTGCAAGAATATAAATATGGTGAAGAAAATGTCAATAATAAGGTAATTTTCACCGTCTGAGTGAAGAGGCCAGAGTAGATTTTTGCTATGAAAAATAAAATTCTTCCAGGTTTCCTATCTTGAAATAAAGTCTGAGAAATGTTAGATCTATTTGTGGAACAAAGAAGAATGCTGTGTTTTGTTTTTTAATAACTATTCATTCAAAACAAAAAATCATTTTCCTCTGAATCAGCTGTAAATTTATTACTATATGCTCTTTAACCGAGGGTGATTCACTTACAATATGTGTTTTTCCCTTCAAAAGAGAAGGGAGATCATTCTTTCTCATTTATTTTCAAAGATGCTTTAAAATACTCCCATAAAAATAAAAAATTAATTCACTACATTTTGAGTAACATGTCATTTTGCTTATCTATAATTATTGCTCTATAGTTTGTCTTCAAAAAATAAGTAAAATTATAGTTTTGATTATAGAAATTCAATTGTACAAATCTAGATTCCTAAGTAGAGTCCTTTTTGTTTGAATAGTAACCAAGCCTAGATTGGCAACAATCTAAAAACTATTATCTTTAAAGTTATTGCTGGAACCATGTATCGCTCCTCTTTAATGACACTTTGTGTCGATGTCACCACAGCATGATCATGATCATGAAATTGACTCACCATAGTTTCCTATTTAAGGAACTAATTCAAGTGTGATTTTGTTGACCATGCAAATGTATTTGGACACATTTCAATTTATTCATGTCTCAGAGGTATTTTTCTGACTACTAAATCCTCATTTTTTTTTGTATTTAAGTATTAGCCTTCACTTTGAATTTTTAATTCTGTCAAATTTCTAAATCTTTAAACCTGTTTATTCTTATTGTAACTTTTGAATCAACTCAGTTAAACTGCATCTAGCAATTCTTATGAAACTTGATTTTCATATTTTTCCTCTTCTATACCCTAAAGATGTATATTTCTTTGTCAATTTTGTTTTCCTTTTTTTGAAATCATTTTAGTGGGAAATACCTAATGCACATATAACATGTCCAAAAACTCTCTGCTCATATCCTGTAAAACATCACAGCCAGCTTTGGCTTACTGCCTGGGAATTATAGTTTGGGAGGTGTTCCTTATACATTCGCTTGTCAGCACAATAAAGCCGAATTTATTTCTGTTGGGACTCCTCAACTGCTCCTCGGAAACCAATGTCTGTTTCCGTCTTGCCAACAATCTCACATAGTTTTGTGTTTCTCATCTAAACTTTATGTGTTATTAACTCAGCTTTTGTTTAATGGCTGTGGTGGTCTGATTGATTCTTTTACTTTTATATTATTTATTTTATTGCCATAATCTATTTTTCATATCTGTCAAACAATAACATCTCTAAATTAAAGTGATTGCTTATTAAAAGTTAAAACATGACAGCAAATTGCAAATATAATACACATTTCTTCTACAATAAAGATGTCAAATATAAAAATATATCTACTTTTTTGTTTTATTTATCTTTGACAAGATTTGATTGTTTACCATGTTTGCTTCAAACTTACAAATCTCTCATCTAAACCATCTCCGAGCTGGGTATTAAAGCTGTGTGGTACCACACCTAGCTCTGTGATCTTTAAATATGATTACAAACTAAAGTTTTTATTCCTTTTTGGGAACATGCAAACTCCAACTTAGAGATTGTGTGCTGACATAGATCAGAGAGAACACAATAACACTGTTGAGAAGTCGTGCTGTGTGCATATCTCCTTCTTAGATGAACCAGGCATGCAAACCGAGTTCCCCGCGCTTGTCAGCAAGTTTAATAGTTTTCACACAATAAACCATCTCCCCAGCATCCAGCTGCCCATATAAATTCCAGAGAAAGATGCCGAGTGTTCTTCTTACCGACAAGGTTCTCTTAGAGATCCTTTCTGGAACTTGCTGTTTTGGCAAACCCCTGAGATCCTACTCTCTTCCCAGTCCTTTCTGCTGGAACTGGAGTCACAGATGGGTGCTGCGACACCCGACTTTTTTTTTTTAAGTGACAGGGTTTCTCTGTAGCTTTGGAGCTATACCTTTCTTTTAGAACTGAAGTCTTTGTGTTTGTGAAGAAGGTGCTTTACTTACTGACCATGTTGCCATTCCTACAAAGAATAGGTTTTTCATGTGAGTGGAGATAGAGGAGTAACACAAGGCACCAGCAAAACTCCATGCATCTTTTTTGTTTTTGTTCTTTTTTTTAAGATCAGCCTGCCTCTACTTCCCGAGTGCTGGGATTAAAGGCGTGAGCCACCATGCCCTGATTCTCAATGCACCTTAATTATCATTTTAATTTGCTTTTAGCAAGTATTTTTAAGTGATTGGTCCTATAGAAAACTAAAATCTAAATATGAATTATTACTGGAGTCATTTTATCAGTTATACTTACTTGACATTCCATAATTTCCTATAGAAGATTCATAAACAAGGGGAATGAGAGTCATCTGTCTGACAAACTCATGCGCTGGCTGTCTATTACCAAGTGAATTCTTAAAACAATGACTAGTATTTTCGTGTACTATGTATGTTGTATAGAGAAATTATGGGACATGAATTAAAGTTCCTGATAAAAATCTACTTAAAGTAATCATTCTAAAACCTAAACAAGGAGCCCTCTTCTTCATTTAGAAAAATATTTATACACTACTGTATGTAGAGTAAGAAAACATTTAGATAATGAATTCTTGTTTTCATAGTACAACATTCACTCTCAAGAAAATATATGTAATTGAATGTGGGTTTTCTTTGTGGTACTTTATAATCTGGACTCTATTTGAGCATCTTGGAAGTCCCAGACAGATATAATTTCCCTCACTATATTTTGCAATTTAACAAAAGCCATAATAACAGCATTACACTGGGAAGCACTTTTTAAGTGGCAGTGTAGAATCACAATAAAATTTTATGGGTAATCACCGTCATTGTAGCAAGATATATAGTGCTCTGAATATTCCTATGTCTTCCTTTTATTTCTAGGAATTGACGAGTGCCACGGAAAGACAGCATCATGAGCTCTAAGGACTTCTAAGCTGTTCTGTGAATTTTGAAGCATATGAGGTAAATGTTGAGTTTATTTTAGTTGTGTTTTGGAGATGAAAGTGAATACCATCTTAAAACTTGTTAAACTCTTATATTTTATGGAACGTATTGCAAACTACTTGGATTCTGTTTGTATTTGCTTAGTGCCTTTATGAAAATTCTAGCATATCCAAGGGTTATACTCTGCTTGCTTTTTGTTTTTTAAAATTATGTATTTTGCAAGAGTATCTTCTGACCTGAGCTCTGACTATGTAGAACCTTGGGACTGAACTTAAGTCTTCTAACTTGTTGGCAAGTGTCTTTAACCATACCCATATATTAGTGCAACTCTCAACCTTCATCTACAGCTTAATACTGAGTTCCACAATTGATCAAGGTGCGGAAAATAAGAGTCAGTGGGGTAATCAGCTCTGCCTGGCTCTCTCTGACCTTTACCCCCAAGATCTGGGAATGGTCATGAAAGAGGCCTGCGAAGCGTCTAAGAGTCAGAAGTAGTCAGTGTCTGACAGGAAGCATTTGTTGGACGTGATAACACCACTGCACTGCGAACTCCTGTCAGCTCTGACTGCAGGCACGAAATTTGCAGGCAAACCATAGCAACTGACAGCACAGATGGGGAAGAGCTCATGAAGTCCAGTCCCTAGCTGAAGAGCAACTGACGCTTGATGGTTTCTAGGTGCGTGAGAGACGGTTCTTTTCACACATACAAATGCTAAATGGCTATCTATAAATTGTCTGGTACCATGCACATAAGGCAACACTAAGTGGACTCAGAGAGTTTTATAAACAGAGAGAGAGAGAGAGAGAGAGAGAGAGAGAGAGCACATAAATGGGAGAGGAAAGTGTCAGGGAAGATATAAAATTGCAGAATTGCAGGGGAGGGAATGGGTCGAATTTGGTCAATATATATCATATGAAAGTCTGAAAAGGAACAAAGTTGCATATAATGTCTGATGGCTTCGGATGGATCTTTATGAGTGCTTATGCTTTGTTTATTGATACAGGGTATGCAGGGGTCTACAGAGCAAACATAAATTTAAAACTGGGTTACTCCTGCCCTTTCCCCTCATGAGTCCTAGTAGCTACGTCTTCCATGTTTTATAGATGTGTAGTGCAGGTTGCCATCTTCTGAAACTCCTGTCCACATTTCTAGCTCTCCTGGCTCTGTTTATGATGTCTGCATTAAAATTTCATGGATGAATGAGTGCTTTTCTACTGTTGTTTGATGTTGGACTGAAACCTTTGTAATCTCCCATTGTCACCTAAACTAAGAAAAAAAAGAGTATGGAAATAAGGATTAGTGGGAAAATAAGGCATCTCTGAGGAATATTGGTGCTGCATGCCTGTAAGCCTAATACTCAAGAACCTGAGGTAGGAATATTGTGAGTTCCATGTCCAACAGTACTACAATAGTAAGGGCTTGTGTCAAAAATCTAGAAAAGTAAAAACAAAATAAATTTAGATGAAAATAAAATTCATTTAAACTTGAGTATGAAAAGATGTATGAGGCTACCAATTCTGCCCTTGTGAATATCAAAATACAGAACTCACAGAAAATTTCTTTCTACCTTGTACCATATATCTCAGACCAATAAAATATCAAGGAAAGGATGATATATTTGCAGATGGTCTAATTACCTCAAATGGTGATTACACAGAAATGCATAACTGCATAGCGGTATAAGAAACTGGCTTGGGAGGAGAGGAAAGAGACACTGTCCCTGAGCGGAAATGCAGCCCTAAATAAGGAAGGACAGAAACTGTGGAAGGGAGGAAGAAGGAAGAGGGGGAATTTAAAGGAAAGGAAAGGAAAAGACAAGAATATTTAAAAAATAATCTTTGTCCAGGAGTAAAACATGAAACCTTGAAGACGAAATGTACAAGAATGCTGATGTCATTGCTAAAATTTAATTTTTTTTTTTTGATTTTCGAGACAGGGTTTCTCCGTAGCTTTTGGTTCCTGTCCTGGAACTAGCTCTTGTAGACCAGGCTGGCCTCGAACTCACAGAGATCCGCCTGCCTCTGCCTCCTGAGTGCTGGGATTAAAGGCGTGCGTCACCACAGCCCGGCTTAAAATTTAAATCTTACAGTTCCAAAACTTAAGCATCACACCAAGACACACACAGCTCACAGTATACAATAATGTCCATTATATTTGCTTGGATGGGATAATAGAAGAATTGGCAGTTATGTGAAGAGACTCAGAGACACTGCTAATTTGTTCTTCATAAACTATCTGTCATTTACAAAGTTCTTATAATCAGAAGAGAATATTTTAATGACACTTAAATATGTTAAACTTGAAATGATTCAAAGACACCATCTAACACAATTACTCCTTGAAATATTTCTTAGTCTCTTCTTTCACAGTGCTTACTGTGGGTTTCAGGAATTCTGATAAATTAACCTCTTCTTTTTTTGAATTTACATAAGCTTTAAAGCTACCTCTTATCCTGAAAACAAAAAACTCACTGTTTTCCCATGTGCCTTGATAGCAAATATTTGCAAGTATATTATATTTTGACATGCTGAAAGTGAAATGCACATTATTACTTTATGAAATTATTAGAAATTATTTTGAACATTAAAATTCCATTTGCTTGTAAAGGGGTGTTTTAAAAATATCAAAACCTCATGCAAATCGCTTCGGCACTGACAACTTTCATTTTAATAAAAGTTTGCATCACAAAGAAATGAAAAGATAGATCCTACATCCTCTGACTCATTCTAAGATTAGATCAGCTCACTGCCATCCTCAGCCTTTGGAGAAAAAGTTGTCCTGGGGCTATACCCACTGGGTCTGGATACAATGCAATCAATTGATTTCTGATTTCGACTAGTTATGGGTTTCTATAATGATCTCTATATTCTGAAAAGATGAAGCTTCTTTAGTGAGGGGTGAGAGATTGCATTTATGGTTATAAGGTAAGTTTTATAATGCAGTTAGGAATCACGCCAATCTTTGACATTAATAGGTTTCTCTAAGCCCCATGATGACCTCACTATCCTAAATAGTTGGCTAGGTTTTCAGCACCAGGCATGATGCCCCTCTTGTTGAGTGTGCCTTAAGTCCAATTAGAGAGCTGTTGGTAACTGCCGAGATATGGTGTCATTATTGCACTTCTGGTAATATTTTTCTCTTCTAGACCATGTTATTTATAGGTGTCACAATTGTATAGGAATATGGATTGCTTTCTCACTGAAAGCTTGTTAGAATTCTCTTGTAGTATGAAAGACATATCAAAGGAAGGAGGCTTTCAGGTCAGACCTAGTTTGAACATTGTTTTCATTGGCAGTCTAATAGTAGTTTGTAAAACTATATATATATATATATATATATATATATATATATATATATATATATATATATATTTGCAAAACTAGTATAAGAGTGTAGAAGAGAAAATTCTACATAGCAAAAGTATGTTTGTTTGAAATCAAACTCTTAGAGCAGACACCATAACGAAGCAATGTGAATTTCAAAAGATTAAGTTTACTTGTTTGTTCAATACTGGATTCTAAATTGTTTGAGAAGATGGAAACTCTCTACAAGTATGTTAATGTCAAGTTAGAGGAGGTTAAAATTTTTGTTTGTGTCTCTAAAACAGGCCCAGAATACTTGAGCATGATCCAGAATGGAACAATTTGTTTTTGTTGTTGTTTAACTTTGACTGGTTGGTTGGTTGATTGGTTCGTTTAGATTTTAAAATAGGATTATATGGGTTTATTTTAAGTAACAAAAAGTACAGAGCAAAAAAACAAAATAAAAAGCAGAAAAAAAATCCTGTGAAATTGGAGTTTGTCTTCAACACAGTTACCTGCTGCATCTAACATATGATGTACATATACAATGTAAAGTTGCCATATACTGTTTATAACTATATAAATTCTGATATAGATGAAATCTGTTTTTTAAACGGTATATCATTGTGTTGCCTACCTGGGCTGCATACTGTCTTGTCCTCTTGAGTGCTGCCCTTACAAGTATTTGCCACCCTATTGGTGCTTGCAGCTGTTTCTGTGGTATGTTTAGCCTGCTTCTCACAATGGATTTGGTTGCTCATTATCTCAGCAATCTGCCATTACATCATGGTCTTTATGCAGAGAAGTAACATTTCCATGTGCCATTACATCATTTCATCTAATTTCATGGGGGTTTTTGATGGTCCATACTATCTTCATTTTAAGAAAACCTTTAAGAAATATCATGTAGAAAAATGGTAGAATTCTTTTAATTCTATTAATTATTGGAATAAACTTTAATTCATCTGTAAAGTAGTATGCAGATAAATTATAGGAGCGTCTTTCCATAACTTTAACCATCTACCTGACATGATCTGCACAAATTAAGGCAGATTGTAGTATTGATTATAATCCAGGTCTCAGATTTAATTTATGAGCATGCAAAGGGGCAACGGCAACTCTTTATTCAATGACATCTGAAGACTGGCTAGTAACTAGTAGTGGGAAAAAGATAACTTATAATCTGTCATGAACTACATGTTTTGCTATTTCTATAGCCTTGAATTAGATCCCAGGAATTAGTTTCCCATTAGTTCAATTTAGAGCATAAATTTAAATCTCTTATGATTATTTTATTATTTTTAGTCATCTGGGGCTTTGCTCAAGACACGATGTAGGCCTTTTAATTAGACTGTTTTCATGTATTGAATAAAATCATTTACTTCTAAAGAATATGTTAGCATCAGCTTGGATTTTCCTTTGTATTCTCTGCATGGTTATACTGGAAGCCTGTCTAGGTTAGACCCTCTGATTGTACATCTCAGTATCATAGAGATTCCCAAAGTGTACAAGCTTAAAAATCTATGGTTTTGTCTTTAATTATGAAGATAAAATATGTGGGCTTTAATGTTCATCCTAGTATATATTTATCAACATTTCTTAGAGTCAGTAGTGATCAACACTATAGTTACAAGATAAATATTTACAGATGATTGCCTACATTTTGTGGCTTCCTTTCATTCATCTATATAGGTAAGATTTTTACCAATTACTTA